ACATATAATGCTATCAGTTATTTGCTCTTCAGCTAATCTAGATGACCACAGACATTTTGGACACGTTAATAGTTCTGTGACAATAGCAAGAGTACTTATAGATGCAATAAATGCCATATATAGTTTTTACAGCTACAGATGTTATTCAGATGCTTCTTAAATGGTTCCCAACAATCCATTAATAATGTTATTTCATTTCAGGCTATGTTTTGTGAATTTTTCTTTTCCCATTGGTAAACATTCATTCACCTCACCATTTTCCACCTTAGTAGTTTTTATTTTTATTTTACATTCACAATTAGTGGATGTGTTAATATATGATTTTACTAAGAAAGAAGGGGTGCACATAAGAACAAACAGCAACAATAATAAATACAAACTGGGTGTACCTGTTCCAAAAAGACATGCAACATAGGAAAAGGGCCATATCATAAGCAACAAACTGGCTTAATACACTATGCCTTGATATTTCACAAAATACTTTTATTTCTTTACATTTAGAACCGCTTGAAACGCTTTTTTGTAACACCAAATTGCATGTCAAAATAAGAAACTCACGCAGAGGCACTGTGGTGGTGCAGAGAGTAAGATGCATGAACCACTGGCGGAGGCCTCAGTCCTCTATGTGACCTTCACAGGGTCCCGGTCCGCTGGCCTTTGACACGTCTTCCACCTCTCACAACCCTCTTTCCCGTCAATCTACTGTGAAATAAAGGGCATTAGAGCCACAGAATTCTAAAAAACCCTCAAAGAAAATAAGGCACAGCAGTGTTAGTCAGCACTAGCAACCCAGTTTAGTAGCTGTAGACATCTATGACTCAGCTCCTCCTTCACCAATTTTGAAAAAAATCACTGTGGGATGTTTTAAGTCAAGAATGTCTGTTCCTTCTGCATATTATGTTCTTTGCCTTCTTGTGATGAAAATAAAAATATATATACATTTGTGTTACACGAAAAATGTGAAGTTCACTGTGTCATTAAAGTCAAAGGTATCATTTTTTTTAGCTGATGAAGACACAACCTGGAATCAGAAAACAGTATGCAACAATAGAATATTTGTGCAAACCAATTTGAACCATTTTTAGCAATAACTTGAGACGTGTGTCTGGTGTATCAATGAAAAATAAATTTTTCTTCTTCATAGCGCCCTGAGATGTTGACTAGAGTCCCTGCAGCTTTAAATGAAAAATATTAAATTAAAGGATGACATTCAGCATTTTGGCTGAATTTAGATCAGTGAAGGAAGTATTAATATTCTCTTTTTGTGCTTTATATAAATGGTGAGCATCTGATGCAGTGTCTATCTATATTCAGCTGTGTAGACGTGTGTGCATGAATTTGTGTGTCTGTGGAAGTACTATGGTATCAATAATTCATGAGGTCACAAAGACGACTCAGAGACACGGTATTCATTCACCTTCCTATCCCAATCTGTTTTATCTTTCCTGAGCCAACCCTCTGCCATTGGTGAGAAGCACGGGGCACACGGCTCAGTCAGCAACACTCAAGCAGAGCAAATCCCCTGGGCATTGTTACTACAGAAAAGACCGTGTCAAATTGTTGACCCAATCATGTTAAAGGTACCTCTGGCTCATTCAGAGGTGTAGTCCCGACATTATTTTTGTGGTTGGGAATTTAAAACAACTAACTCTACCTTGATGTTTTGATACACCTATCAGATGCACTTATAGAGACAGCGAGCATGCCTGGGAGAGATTTGTTTACAAGAAAATGGAGAGGTAAATTGTTGCTTGATGAATAACGGCGATAACTTATTTTCCATGCAGGTAAAAAAAAGAAAAAGTTATTACTTTGCAAGGAAATACAGCCAAGCATTATTAAAAAAAAGCCAAGTTTACATCAGTTTCACACAATACATTTAAAAGTACAGTTTGTCTTCCCCTAAGCTGCTTATAGAGAGTCAAAAACAATCTAACATTGAATATAAAATATATTATAATATTCAGGGTAAAATACCCAGATGCTCCAGGCATGTACTTTCTTAATTTAAGACGATGATTCATTTGTACATTGATGCAGTGACAGCTTGTGCTGTTCTTGTCCACTACTCTGCATGACAGCTGGATGTACTGGACAGACTGGGAAGAGGATGAGGTCAACGACAGCATAGGACGGATAGAAAAAGCCTGGATGGATGGATCCAATCGCCGTATTTTCGTCACCTCCAACATGCTGTGGCCTAATGGTCTGACTCTAGACCACAGTAGCAGCACGATGTTCTGGTGTGATGCCTACTATGATCATATTGAGAAGATTTACCTGAATGGAACTGGAAGAATGGTATGTATATACTGATGATTTGGACCTTCGCGTCTTAATTTCATTTTGCTGTCTGAATCAGTCAACTACACGATGGTAAATTAAAGTTTTAATCTTTCAAAAACGTTCAGCCTTATAAAATGTTATGACAAAAAAACGTAGTTTCTAATTTAAAACGTTTTAATGGTGGTGATTTGATTCTTCAAAGCAGTGAGATCATTGAACAAATCTCCGCCTCTCTAAAACCACAGCCAACAAAATATCCCTTCATCCCTAACTGCCCCTGCAGTTAAACCGGCATATTAATGATAATAAATTATTTGTAAATGATCTTTAATCAATGCCAAGATTCTATCTAACATTATTACAAGCAGGCTGCTCTGCCGGATGCATTTGTGCAAAGAAATTAAATAACATTCATCATTCTCCCCACCCCGAATTATATCTAAACCCATATTCAAATAGTTAGAGTCTGCTTTGAGATGATTGATTTTGCTGTTGCTGATGGTGCCTCTCTGTGGCTCCGCTAATCTTCTGATTATAGTGCACGGTGTTTCTTGTTGCAGGTGGTGTACAGAGGAAAAGAGCTGAACCATCCCTTCGGCATCTCTCATTATCGCAATTTCATCTTTTGGACGGAGTACATGAATGCGTCTGTATTCCAGCTGGACTTATCCACGGGCGATGTCACTCTTCTACGGAGCGAGAGACCACCTCTATTTGGCCTGCGCGTCTATGACGCACAGAGCCAGCAAGGTTGGCAGCTTTCCCTTCACTTAGTAGCCGTTCAATGCTGCTGAATGTGAATTGCTTCCTTTACACTATGGATTCCTGTTGTCTTAATGTGTATGGGGGATTTATTACAAGATGTATTATATCTACAAGATGTATTATATATACTCCAGAGTAACAAAAAATGCTGTTGCTCTGTTATTTCATTGCAGTGACTGGCGCTGGAGTAGATTATCAACATGTAGAGAGCTTCATGTCATAATCTTACTCCCATTCTGTCTGTTAGAAAATTGTGCCAACCAAGTAACCATTAATGCACATTTTTATTGTACAGGAATAATATTGATATATATTTTTTATTGCTTGAGATCACATGGAATAAGTGTTTGCATAATCGCAAGACTTCAGTAATTCCTGATAAGTCGAAGATGTAACCCCCCCCATAGGACTTTTATTCTATATTGATTATTGAATTAGCAGGTGAGACACACAGGTTTTTGTTGAAAGGAGATTTAGGGGAGTTGTTTTGAAATCTTCCAATTTCTGAGATTTGTTTTAATAAACAGAAGTCTGAAATTGTATAAGATTGAACAAACATATTGCATATTCCCCAAAAATACTTATATTTTCATTTGAGTGGTAAAATCGATTCTATATACCATACTTTGCGAGATGTAAAAATCTATGTTTGACTTTTCATTTTTCAAAGCTTTTTTTGGACAGAATTAAGCCCACAACTTGACTCCAACCTGAGTACTTTAATATTTTTCATTAAAGTCACAATCCTCATACTATGGAGGAGAGATCTATCTGTCTTTTATCTGAAAATAAAAATGTATTTTTGGCAAATCAACTGTCAAACAAGTAAGCTCACAAAATAAAACTTATTCTGTACATGTTATAAAGAGCAATTTTATACAATAAAATGTTCAAGCTACAGAAATTACACCCCCAACCACATACTACCTAGCTGGTTAACAGTACATCAGTAAATAATACAATGATTGTCCATTTCTTCTTCTGGCATTTTCACTGGGCCCAACAGAAAGATAGGGTTTAAAACTTTTTTAGCTGAAAAAAAAAAAAAAAAGTTACACTTGGAGAAAAATAAGTTGTTGGTCAACAACGGACAGATGGAAACTGCTGACTAAATAAATCTGGAGAGATGGCAATAGATTTATGTATTATTGATACATAGTGGAGCTAAATCCTCATGGAATATTACCTGTCGTAAATTTCAAATATGATTCAGACGTTAGCAACCTAAATAAAAAACAAAAACAAAAACTAAATAAATAAGTAAAACAGTGACTTATTCCAGCACTACTCCATTTTACCGAACCTGCCACAGGGGTGACTTTGTTGCTTATTTTTAAGGTACAGTTTGCTTTCGGCATCAAAGCATGTGGTGGCAGGTGCATTTCAATCCTAGCTCTGACATAGCAGCAGTATTTGATGCTCAGGGAATGGCAGCATCAAATACTGCTGTTATGTCAGTATTTGATGCTTTTCCTTCTCTCTTTTATTGAGAGAAGATCGATTCATGTTGTTATGATGCTGAAAAGAACAGATAGGAGACAAAATGGATAATGTTGTCAGTATAATGTCCTCTGTGGACTTCTCCTTTTGCTTTATAACAGCCATGTAAAAGCAGAATGTGATACATTTAGAAGAATATTATTTTAGCAGACAGTCAAAGGGGTTTTGCGCCTTTGCTGCATCCTCAAAACATTGATTCCTGTAGAAGAGCATCAGAGATGCTTATTGTGAGTAGAGCAGTGCCCTGTCAAGCGCACGATGCGAACCAGTTGTGGTTTTTGTGTGCACAGACTAGCTCACATGATCCAGAAAACATCTAGACGTTTTTCTGTGGCCACTGGATAGATTAATTGGATGTCCAATGTTGTGGCTTCTACTGATTGGCTCCCACAAGACCAAAAGCTTTATCTCATTGGTTCAGGCTCTGCTTTTGGGAAAAGTGGTAAATTGAAGTGACAAAGGTGTCACATGGCTTAACTTTATAGGGGTCTTTTTTGCTATTGAGGAGTGACAGTTTTGTCCAGGAAGACAAATTATCCCCACTGAAAAAAATGATAAAAATGTCAAATATATTTCTCTTGCTGTGTTCCCAATATTTCATGTGATGTATGGCTTACACCTGGCATGTCTAAGTAAGGCAGGAAATGGGTTTTGCATCAGAAATGGGATTAATTTTGCAGGACTTAAAGTGGTGAAAGGTACTAATATTCACAAGGCTTGGAAATTGTAAAATTAACTGACAGTGTTTGCGGTCTGTTTCTCCCAGGTGAGAACGCATGCAGCGTGAATTATGGAGGATGTAGTACCCTTTGCCTTGCCATCCCAGGAGGCAGAGTGTGTGCCTGTGCTGACAACCAAGCTTTGGAGAAGAACAATGTCACCTGTTCAGGTAGGAGTACACAATGAATCAGATGAAATACAAAGTCCAGGATCGTCATCTCCTGCTGTCATCCTGCCATCATGCTAAGGGAGAAAGACGGAACAGGTCCTTGTTTTTATGCAAATTAGGCAATAAACAAGTACATACAGGTGAAAAATTATCCCACCAGACCTCCAGCTACCCAAAACAAATCCCACTTGCTTTATGTTCTGTGGGGTTGTGACACATTATTAACTGAGTTTGCCTGCTATTATGGCTATGCCAATAATTTCTCCTGAGTCCATACCTCTTACCAAGTCCCATGTTGATTTTAATTTCTCCTCTGTACTGTTTTTTTTTTCCCCCAGATTCCTCCACTGATGTCTTAGAGCCAACTCGATGTAAAAGCGACGAATTCCAGTGTCACAATCAGCGCTGTATACGGGCCTCGTGGAAGTGCGATGGCGACGACGACTGTCTGGATGGAAGCGATGAGGAGAGCCACAGCTGCTGTGAGGATCGTGATTAGTCACTTCAAAAAATAAAAATACCCCATGCAGAAACTGTATGGGTCAATACTTTAAAAAGCACAACAACAAAAAAACACTACGATTTTTACAGTTAGTTCTCTCTTGCTGTCAACATCCATGTTGCTAATTGACACTAAACAGGGATGTTAAATGTGCTGCTGTCTACCTTCTTGGAGAATCACTCTTTAACAGATTACTTGGAGGAGCAGAGTTTTTGGTTCATTTGGATCATTCATTTATTTATTTATTTTTATGGAAGGCAGAAGCAGTACATTTTTACACCATAATCATATGCCAGCATGATTAGAAATTAAAGAAGAATCACCAGTTAGCTGCACTGCTAGAATATCATTTGGGATAATCTGACTCGGTTTATCTAAATGGATGTTGAGTCTTCATAAAACAGTGTCGCCACAAACTAAACAACACAAGATGTCAGTGTTGATATTCCCACATACTTTAGGGTTATTCTTTGGATTATAAAAGTTCAATATCGTCTTACAAATTGATAGAAATGGAATCAAACCCTTTCCTCAGAACAAATTTGTCAGAACACTACTATCAGTTTGGGAACCTCTTACATTATCCAACTGTGAAATCTAGATCTACCCTAACTCCACACAGCCATCCCTGTTTAAGGAATTGTGCTATTACTCATTGTGTTAAGTATGCACATAAATTTTCTTACTTACTTAGTGCAATCTATAAGTGATGAGAATTAATGAATTCATAAACTCGGTGTGCAGCTTGACTTAATTACAAGGCTGACAAGAAAATAGGGTATGTGGTGATAGTGTTTTCACTGAAGAATATTAAAATGAACTGAATGTGACTTTAATGCGAATACTTCATTCACAGTATCCCCCATAAGTCTTGAATTTCAGTGTCAAACATGTGTGGCTTTCAATACAAAAAGCAAGACTTTTCAAAGTATCTGTTACTGAGACATTCATGGAGTGTTTTAGGACACACTGTAATAGTCTCATGGCATAAACATAATGTAGAGACGTCATACATACCAGATGGGCATCACTGCCTCAAAATTTGTGCAAGAGCAACTCGGCTGTGACTCAGTGATATGATATATATATATATATATATATATATATATATATATATATATATATATATATATATATATATATATATATATATATATATATATTTTTTTTTTTTTTTTGCCACATTTCTGCCCAAAATGATTCATAACACTGTCAGATTTAGGTAGAAGTTATGTTCATTCAACAAGAAGTTTGTGTTTCAGTGAGATAATCAAAAGATAAAAAAGATGTAGAAAAAAGTGTCACTGTTTTAATTTAACTGTTAAAAAAGTCATAAAAAATTAATAATCACTTAATAGCTAATTGGAAACATTTTCCTGCCATTACAGTGAAGGCTTCAAGTAAGGATTTATTCAGCTAATTATTATATAACCTGTTGGAGAGCAGTTACAGACTGTGTGTAGAAATTTGAATGTTGAAAATAAAATAATGGAGCAGTTTACTATAATCTCTGTCGCCTTTCTGTTATGTGCTAACGTCTTGTCTAATTGTTAAAAATAGCTGGTCACGTGAAAATTCCTCTGTTGAAAATAATTTGTTTCGTCTTCTGGCTTCCTTTTAAAAAACTGACTAAGCAACATAGCTTTGAGTCTTTCTTCAGTAAAAACCACCGCACTAAAGATTCAGAAAAACATCATTTTTGAGTCATTTGAGCGCATTGCTTAATTTTATTGTTTGTTTGTTTGTTTTTTATTTACTTCGTTAACTATTAGTGGGTTTCTGTAAAGTCACTGTCATTTTTGTGTCTATTTGAACTATTTCAGACAACCACACCTGTCCTGATGATCAGTTCAAATGCAACGACAACCGGTGCATTCCCAAAAGATGGCTTTGTGATGGAACCAGTGACTGCGGTAACGGTGAAGATGAAGCCAACACCACTTGCTCTGGTATGTTCTTCATCATTCTTTATGTTTGTAGTTTTGGCAGCTGTTTGATAGTTTGACGCTCCTCTTTACATGCAGGACAGTTTATTTCCACAATTATGTTCCTACATTCACTGTTGGAAATATAATTACTCTTTAAAGGAGTTTCCCTTTATGTTTTGATAAAAGGCTCCCATCATGTGGTTAATGCTCTGTTTCTCAGAAGACTGATGTGCTGTTTAATTGATTTTAGCTCATCGAGCTTATAGACTGCTAGCATTAAAGATCAAACAGCTTTCTCGTCTGTACAAAGAGGTGGAAAGCTTTTTTCTCTCTCATCTTTTGATAAGATGTTCTCACCTCAGGTGTGCTTTATTTATCCATGTCTTAAACCGAGGTGTCAGGTGTTGTCAAGGCAGCCATCACTGTTATAATTTGAGGCTCTTAAGAAGCTTTGGTGCAGTACTATCACTCTCAGTGTGTGCGAGCGCTATATGGTATCAAAGAGTCGCGGTACCTTTGAGAGGAAACTTTCTGTCAGGAACGCTCATGGTAGATTGTCTCTATGTCTTTAACAGTGCCTCTCTGCAGCTTTTTATCCATAGAAGATCAGCCAATAAGCATTAGTCAGTGGATGATGAATGTTCCTGCACTGGCAGATTGACATGCATATCCCACTACAGCAGGACATTGCTTGAGTGCTGTCATGTACATGACCACCAGGATGTGACTGAAGGCCTATCAAGCAACAGCACATTTTACACACGCTGTCAGACATGCCACATTTTGCTGTGAGACAGAGTGATAAAGAGTTTGCGCTGGCCAGACATTGACATTTTGGTGATCTAGTGGACATTAGATGCAGTTGTGTTATCCAACATTGACTTGTGCGCCTATAATGCTGTGATTGAATTAGGAGACCACTTTCTCACTTTCTTGTTTTCGCAGCCCGGCCCTGTCAAGCCGACCAGTTCTCCTGCCAGAATGGACGCTGTATACCTCGAGGCTGGAGCTGTGATCGGGAGAATGACTGTGGGGATATGTCAGATGAAATATCGTGCAGTAAGTCTCCTGAATATTTACCACATGCTATTATAGTCTTACTGACTGGACATAAACAAAGCTATTTGGGGCTTATAGTAGAGGCTCACATTTTATGTTTCAGATGGTTAAAAGACTATAAAAAAAAAGTATTTACATCATGATTTTCACTGCTTTGTCCAATTTAAATGTTCCAGATCATCAAGCTAAATTTAATACCAAACAAACATGACCTGAGTACTGCAATTTTGAAATCTTGATTTGATTTCTTAAGGGGAAAAAAGCTACCTGAATCAACTCAGGTCCATGTGAAAAAGTAATTGCCTCTAAATGTAACAATTTGTTATTTAATGCTTGGCAGTAACAACCTTCAAGCATTTGCAAAACAGCCATTGACATGAAAATGTAATGTAGAGGATTTTCAGCCCACTCTTGTTTGCAGAATCGTTTTAATTCAGCCACTTCCTACAAATGTCATACCTATTGTCATTTAGAGTGACCTAGTCAAAGTCTGGATCTGAATCTAATGATGATATTGTGCTATGAGCTCAAATAAGCAGATTATGCATGAAACATTTACTAGGCAGCCATTCTGCCAAGAAAAGTGGGCCAAATGTCCTTCAAAACTTGTCAATGATAACAAATGCAATTACTTTTTCACATACTGAGGGAACAATTATGTTTGCACATAAGGTCAGGGATGGTTTTATAACATTTTCATATAAAAATCTGTAAGGAGGAAGCTACTTTTTCACAGCACTACATTTATCTTTATATTGTGTCTAAAACAAAAGTTGAAAAAGTGTAAGGGCTTTAGGTTTCACTGCTGATTGAATAGCCGTGTCATCAGCTGGTAAAATGTCAAAACTAGTTTTCCATTTTGCTCTTGAAACACTTGAAATGTGACTGTTTAATTTATGGCTGTGTCAGAGAGCTGTCAGCATTTTTGCAGTTCTTGCTCATAGATATAACGCCACATTTCACCTGTAATTGATAGAAAGAAAATATGTTCTAAGAGGCACTGCTGTTGGGTTATTTAATACAGTGCTGTTCTTTTTCCACAGTGGCTTTAAAAGTACAGCATAATACGTACGTGAATCAATTTACCATGTTTTCTACTGCATAAATATGCATTTCTGTGCAGAAATTTGATAAAGGGGTGAGAAATCTTTAAAGCAAACGTTTTATGAGTGTCGTGTTTCCCACTGAGTTGCTTTTCGTGTTGAAGTGAAGCAAGACTGGAGTAAAAAGAAGTAAGTCCAGTTTGAGCAGCATCAAATAGTAGTCGACACAGTAGCCAAAGAACCTTTTTTTGTGTTTACACGGAGCTCATCTATGTTTCTTGCCTAGATGATGCAGCAAAATGCCACTGAATTCTTTTCTGTGTCTCTAATTAGTTGCCATACATCCACTCAACAGCTTCCCATTAAGGACTGTCTTTTTTCTCAAGAAGAGTCTGCATTACTATATTAGATTTACTGGCATTCCTTTTACAGTTGGTACATTTTCATGTAATGCCTTCCCGCTTAAGTGGCTGACTCAAAAGATCTTTTTTTTTTCTTTTCTTTTTTTTTTCTGAAAAGTATGATTTGAAATTACCCATCTGCTTTGATAAGCAACAGAAAGGCAGAGTGGAATTTATTTGTTTAACTTTTTTGTGGCTCAAAAATATGATGATTTCTGCATTAATTTATGAAATTTTCAGAGTTGTGACTATTAATAAATTGTCTACCTTAACATGCCTGAAAGGACAGTGGAGGCTTAGTTTAGCTGGAACTCTTATGACTTTTATAGTTTCAAATCCATTCAACAGTGTTGTTAAAATGTGATTTGTCAATGTGCTAAAGAAATGCAGGGCAGATTTGCAAGAGTGTGAAAGAGGCGTAACAGTTGAACCATTTGTTTAGGCTAAAGACAGATGTGTCGGTGGTGGGTTGAGTCACATTTTCTGTCCGTTTCATTCATTTTTGTCAAATTTCTGTTTGCACATGTCAAGATGACTGGTGATTACCAAATGCTGACGGTTGTTTGTCTATTTGAAGTTAATCTGTGTCAGATACTGTTTAAAAAAGCTTTGTTTGGAAGAGATATAGAAACAGATTTATAAATGCTTTGTACCAGTCACAAATCATGATTTGACATCATTTTCTGAATGTATGCAATAATTATCAAAACACATGAATAAATTAGTACAGAATAAATATGTTCAGAAGAATCTTTGTACCTATGATTTTTTTAACAAATTATATGTGTGAAAATGTATTTACAAAGTCATATTTTTTGTTCTTCTGAGATAGTGATTCCATATTCTAAGCATGCTATGACTTATCCTTGTGGACTGTATTGAAACATGCTGTATATGTCTCTGCTACGTTGTAGGCTATAGCCGTTACCAGGTCAGTTTGTTTGTGATGACATGCTAATGTGCTGCTTCACAGACTAATCTTGATAATTACTGCAGTGAGATGTTTTTTTTTTTTTTGCTGTATTTTTATGCTTAGTGCAATTTTAGAATTCCACCTGCAGAACTGAACAATCACCCAGGTGGAACTTCTCATTTCTGAATGGCTGCTAAATTGTACAGAACGGCAAGGCCTGCTTCGCTGGCAGAGGCTCGAGTTTTACCAAAGCTCTAGTCATCTGTGCTTCTATGAAAATGAATGTTAGTCAGAGCTTCGTACTCATTTCGAATACATAGTTGTTTTCACACCCGTTACTACATTCCGTTGAGAGAATTTTTAGGCTGAATTATTGATGTTGTGTTCTTTGGACCAAAACCTAAACACTTCCTCACTGGTGGCAACAGCTTAAAGGAATGATGCTGCGTAAACAGAATACTTTTGCACAGCAGCTCACTGTTCTTAAGTAGCGCCTCTGTGGTATTATACAACTTGTCAGCTGAGTTCAGTGAGTTAAAAGTTGCAGTGTTCTGGATAAATCTTAGAAAACATAAAAAAACATCAGACACTATGATGGCCCGAGGTTTTTTAGAGCTCTTTGAAGATGTATTTAACCTTTTATTATGTGAGAGGGTAAAGGGGCGTTTGAGGGTGCAAAAGCTGTTTTTAGCAGTGAGGTTGGAGTAGATGTATTAGCAGCATACATTTGAAGGATCAGGGAAAAGGTTTGAAGATTGTCCTTAATCACTATTTGTATTAAATCAGCCCTTTAACGGTGATTGATGTTTGCCAAACGCTGCTCTGTGCCATATCGCATCAGCCTCCCTTTGTGTGTCCTAAGCCGCTTCAGTACGCAGTCACAAACAGCCGGGGTGTAAAGCAGTAATTAAAGTTCATGCTCGGCTTCATTCAATCATAATCAAGCTGCGCAGCAAAACATATTCTCTCCCCTTACTGTTGTCTGAGCTTCCTCAGGCATCACTTCTCTGCAGGCACTCTTCTGTGAAGCCCTGGCAGCTCACTTAGCTTCAGTGGAGCTACTGTGGGTTTTGGAGCACCTGAAGCTCGGTGGTGGCTGCCTCCGAGATTGATGTTAATTTGGATTTTGTTTGTCAGTAGTTTAGTGGTTGTCACACAATGGCTTCTGCTGGACTCTCTCGATGGCGTCATTATTTATAGATACTGGTGTTTCATTTTTAGCCATGCTAGCTGTTTACTTGAAACCCTCATTATTTATGTATGCTCGTGCTCTGTTCTTAACAAACGTTAAATCCCAGGCAGTCACATCCTGTCAGTAAGACCCATTACATTTGAGGGAAATGCGGCGTTCTTTAGATGACACTAATATGATAATGATACCTTCTCTACAGCATCAAAGGTATAGCATGCAGCTACAGCAGACTGCCAACAAATCAATTCAAGAGAGAGAGAGACTTGCATTTCTCAGGGAAGTCAATAACCCTTCTGTATAGAGTATACCAAAATTAGGCTGGTATGTCGATTCTGACGATGTTATCAGCCCACAAAAACAGAAAAATATTTAGTTTTCCTATCCATTCCCTATCACTATAAATAAAAATGATGTTTTAAAGTAAACCAAAATAGTTCATAAGATTTTTCTTTATTAAATCTCAGGTGATGACAAAGCCGGGAGTGGGACACGATGGATTTCTATTAAGTTAACAAAAAGAGAAAAATGAGAAAACCCATAATATGCTAAGACAGATGACAGGAAAAACAACTGTAAGATAAATCGAAAGTAGGAAATTAATATCGAAAACCTTTTGAATATACTGCGTTGTCTGAATAGTAAGCTGACGACGGGTGAAAGCTGTTTGTGTGAAGACTGCATTCTATTTCATGGCCAAGCATGTTTTACATCTGGTTGTGTGACTGGAGGCATTGAGCAACAGATGAAATGTGAAGACAGAACTCATTCTGAAAGAAACCACAGCACTTCAAGGCTTCCATGAGCACAAAGCTTTAATCAGACGTGGAATTTCACATTATTTTCCACTTATAAACAGGGTCACCAATAACAAAGAATTTGGCAAGTATTTCCAAATCAGTACTATAGATACTTTTTAGATTGAAGAGCATGACCATAGTTTCTTGGCAACGTTGAGAATAAGTGATTAATGAATTGCAGGGATTTTAATGATATTTTTTCAGTCTTTGCAAACTTTTGTCAGCCTCTCTTTTCCTCTGCATAACAACATTACAGGCTGAATAATTGAGACTTTACTATCTCCATATCCAAATACAAGTACTTTTATTGCAGACTACATTCCACTTATTTAAAAGTTAACTTTCTCAGAAAAACAAATTGCTTAATTGACTAAACGGCCACCAAATATTGTCCTCCGTTTTAGACTTATATTTGGACAGTGCTCCACATGTCTAGAGCAGGCACAGCTTTGTACAGTGGCTTTAATTCATCTGTAAAGGGACTGACCCCTGGCCCTGGACCATGTTCTCCCTTTTCTCTGTCTCCCTCCCTTCCTGTCTGGATACGATCAAAAATGGCCGCAACACACAAAGAAATATATATATATATATA